GGTTATTTTCCATTCTTCGAGAAAATATTAATGACCTCACTACTCATGTATCTTTCTACAGCAAAGAATGTTAATAACTAACTGAAATTTCATAATGGGACTGAATAATTTAATTTCACACCTCTGAGGCAAAATCAATCTACATTTTACAAAAGAAGAAAATACTCTTAAGCAGTGTCAGATTTCAGGTCTAAATTTGTTTACAAAGCTTATCTTTAGTAGAGTTAAGCACACTGCCTCTCAAAATTATATCATGTTTCTTCCATCTCTATTTCTTCTTAATCTTTCCTATTCCCATCTTTGGGGAGCTACTTAGTCTTCACCAAGATGTCTATATAAGTGGAGATGGCTTTGTTTAACTTCTCTTTGTCAGTTATTTTTTTCCCCCCTATTTCCTTCACTACTTTACCTTTGGTGTTGTAGGTAAAATTTTGTATTCCCTTTTTGACTGGGATAAGTTTTTCTTTTTGTATAGTTTAAAATATTCTTTATTTCTGTGTACTCTATACTTCTGTTATAGTAAGAACTAGCCTGCTTGGAATGAATAATATTATGTAGTCGCCGGACAGGGAGGAGGAGGAGAGAGACTTTAGTGGTGGTTGTATTCTATAGGGTGTTGTACTGCTAACCACAAAGCTGTGGAATCATCAGCTGATCCTTGGGAGGAACCTGAGCAGTATCCTGTGTCAGTTTGGAATCTCAGAAACCATATGGAAGATTGCTGTCAGTCTGAATCACCTTCACAGCAGTGAGTTGAAATCGAGTCACTGAGGGAAGTATATCTTTTTTCACCACTGGGCCGATGGGAAGCATCATGATGGATGGTGAAGAGATTGAGATTATTCACAGCTTTAATTTGCTTGGCTACACAGTCAACACTCTTGGCACCAGCAGCCAGGAAGTTAAAAGATATATTGTGATGAGAAAGTCTGCGCTTAGAGACCTCTCTAAAGTACTGAAGAGCAATGATGTAAGTCTGGAGACTAAGGTGTGCCTGATACAGGCCATGGTCTTTGTATTCACTTTCTATGCATCAGAGAGCTAGACAATGACTAGGGAGGATGGGAGAATTGATGCCTTTTAGCTGTGGTGTTGGAGAAGAATATTGAATATACCGTGAGCTGCTAAGAGAACGAACAGGTTCATCCTGGAGACCGTTACACCAGGCTGCTCCTTGGAGGCAAGGATTCTGAAGCTTCGTCTGACATACTCTGTGCATGTTGCAAGGAGGGCCCCTTGGAGAGGGACGTCATGCTTGGGAGGGTGGAGGGACAGCACAGGAAAGAAAGACCCTTGATGAGATGGATTGATTCAGTGACTGGGGTAATAGGGATAGGTGTGTCAGAGACAATGAGATTGGCACATGATACACCAGGGTTAAGGGCTGTTTTACATAGGGTTGCTAATGATCACAGGCGACTTGATGGCACATAACAACAGGGAAGTATACAAAAATGTGACACACATCATGTAGTAAGAGAAACTCACTCATTGCTATTGAGTTGGAACCAAACTCAGGTTGGTTCCAAACTCCAGTGAGTTTTTAAAGACCAAGTTGCATTGGAGAACATTTTCTATCCTTGTCCCTTATAGCAGCTGTTGGATTGGAACCATCCACTTTTGGCTTGACAGCACAGCTCCTTATCCACTAGAGTGACAGAGTACACCATCAGAAACAGATATGTAAAAAAGGAAAATGGAAGATGAGATTAAATAAGTGTCAAAGGGAGTCATTGATGACTGATACATAATCTCATTCCAAACAGTATTGACACAGTGAATCTATCATTGAAGGTTTTTCTCTCTTTTGCTGACTCATTCTTTCCCAGTATGATGTGTTTTTCCAGAGATTGACTCCTCTTGACAAAATGCACAGATTATGTGAGATAGCATTTCTTTGCCCTTTCCTTAAATGAACATCCTGTTGTTCTTCCTTAAGGACAGACTTGTTTATTTTTTTTGGCTGTCCATGTTATTCAGTACTCTTCCCTAATACCATATTTCTAGGATATTGATTTTTATTTGGGCATTATTAATTTTACAACTTGCAGATGCATGGAAAACAACTGAAAAAATACTATAGTTTGGATCAGACATGCCTTAGTTTTTAAACTTACATCTCTTCTCTCATACTTTAAAGAGGTTCTGGACAGATTTTCCTCTGTACCATGTATCTTTTAATTTCTTGACTGATGGTACTGTGACTATTGATTTTGTACCCACGTAAAGTGAAATCCTTGACAACTTCAATCTTTTTTCCAACTGTCATTATATTGACCTTTAAAGAGTTGTGCTATGAACTTTGGGTCTTGTATCCCCAAAAGACAGTTACTATTTTTTAAGGGACTTGTAATAATTTGTTTAAGGAGCAAGAGACTGGGAGTGTAAAAAGAGTAAAATCCTATTAAAGAAGGAGAACTCTAGTGGTTTAGTAAGAAAGGAGATGAACTGCTTACCCAAAGGCAAGTTGTTCAAATCTGCCAGCTGCTGGAAGAAAGATGGACAGTTTCCTGAAAGAGTCAACTCTGAGTTGGTACTGACTTGACATCACATAGCAACAACAACAACAACAAAAACCATTATTAAAGAACTTGGATATGCAAAAACCTTAAACTATTTTAAAACAGAAAAACATTTCTTGGTTTGTACACCTTCACAACATTATATCTCATATAAATGTGTTTCTGAGGTAGCACTAAAGCTCAACCAAAGAATGACAGCATTTTTATATGCATATGTATGTAATTATGTGTATGTTTGGGATTCTTAAATGATTGTTTGGTGCACATGCCACAAGTAAAAATGATCTCAAAGATTTACTGTTACAAACATAGTATGTTCTTGAGTTACACCTAATGAGCAACCTGAACTTGCCTTATAATCCTGTGTGAATTTTTCCTAATTTAGAAATGATTACATCAACCCCTGCTCACAGCAAGTACAAATGATTAAGTTTTCAGCTGCTAACTGGAAAGTTAGTAGTTTGATTCTACCCCATCGTGTCTTGGGAAAAAGATTTGATGATAATCAGTTTGAACTCCCTGACTCTGTACAAAAGACTTAACAGCTACCCAGTCCTGCACCATCTTCAGAGTCATTGTGCTTGAACTGTTGCTGTGTTCATTGTAAGTCTTTCTTGTTGAGCATCTTCCCTTTTTTGCTAACCCTATACTTTACCAAGCATGATGTCCTGCTTCAGGGACTGATCTTCCTTGATAACATGTCTGAAGGTTGTAAGATGAAGTCTCATCATCCTTGCCTCTGATGAGGCTGCACTTGTTCCAAGACAGATTTATTCATTCTTTTGACAAACCATTTAGTATACTTCACCAACTTCATAACCACTGAAAAACACATGTAGTACAGTTCTAATTTGCAATACACAGTGTCTCCAGGAGTGGAAACTGATTTGATGATGATTGGTTTTGGTTCTATAGAGTTGCTGTTTTTTTTGTCGTGTGCCATTGAGTTGTAACTGATTCATATCTAGACCCCCAGTGGCTTTTCTGAGGTAGTAAATTGCTCAGGAGGAGATTGCACATCTCACTCCTGTAAAGCCATTTGTAGGTTCACACTGAATGCCTTTCGCTTGGTAGTACGACTCCTTACTTCTAGACCATCAGATATATAATCAGAGCAGCATTAGAGTTTTCTTTTTTTGCTTATCCGAACCAGCTACTTATTTTATACAGTCATTCTTGTAATTTGTTTTACTGAAGTGAAGTACATTTACCTAATTTTTCACTTGGCTACTCCCCAGTCACAGTTTTTAGGTGTTTATTGACTGGCATTACCTATTCGCTAACAGCATTTCTTCTACAAACTACTACCACTCAAAGATTTACTGTTAACAGCCTAATAAGTCCCTGAGTTACAAAGAATTGATGAGCAACCTGAGCTTGCCCTTTAATCATCTGAATTTTTCCTTACGTAGAAATGATTGAGCCAATCCCTACTCACAAAAATGTCTTCCATCTCAATAACATTCATTTGCTGCAGCTTTTAAATCATTGAAACGACTTCCCACCTTTTATTATACTAAAGTAAGACTAAGAGCTGCATGAATTTGCTCTTACTTACAGATTCAACTTCCAAGTCATACTTAAAAGTGAGTCTCATTTATAACCTGGGTACTGCATGTATAGATAAACAAAGAAAAAGGCAATTAAAATTTCTAAAAACTTGGATATTAGTGACTGTACTTAAATTTATCCCTGGAGGGCACCGTTACTAAGCTTTTGTCTACTAGCCAAAAGATGGTCAGCACATACTTGCCCAGATATAATTTGGAAAACAGGCCTGTGAAAGTGCTTCTAAACTATACCGTACTTGCATGCTGTGGAGCAACAGTATTCTCTGCTCACTCAGGGTTGCAGTGATTCAGAATGGAGTCGGCATCAACTTAAATGGTAGAAATTTCATGTTTCAAAAGTTTCTTGTAGAGTCCTCCATTTGACAACACAGTGCAATACAGAACTCTGCTAGTGTAGACTGGAGCCTCTGGAACCCTGTGGAAAATCGCAGTGATTAAGATCTGACTTGATGGCAGTGAGTTTGCCGTGGATTTTTTGGTGTTTTTTTATTTTCAGTTTCATAGTTCCTTTCCTGAGTTAGTGTAGGAAATGTTTGTTTATACAGACTCACAGAAAACCGGTTAATGATATATACGGATATATAGTTCCATAACTTAATTGGCAGAAAATTCTTTGACATAAAATACGTTTTAAGTGTCATCTGTTTTACTTAAAAATGTCATTTTGTGCGTACGAAAGTCCTCTTTCTAGGAATTAGAAGGCCCAGAGTAGAAGCGGCCATTGACAATGATTTTGTGAAACAAATAGTTAGGCTTGGATGCTATGGACTTTCTCCTATATAATGTCAGAGCTTCAATTTCTTTTTTAAATTAAAAGATGAGTTTATACTTTGTATAGCCCTTGTGTTTATGTTATGTTCTTCAGTTTATTTGATAGTGATATTTTTCTTTTTTGTGTATTCTTTAGCCGTATTTGTGGGAGTCCATGTCCTGCAGTGTGGCCTGATGTAATTAAACTACCATATTTCAACACCATGAAACCAAAGAAACAGTATCGTCGAAAGTTAAGAGAAGAGTTTGTTTTGTAAGAAGGGAATGCTTACATTTCTATATTGTCTTAAATGTCCTTAACTTAAAGATTATTTCATGTGAATTCTAAATGTTCCTCTGTTTATTAACCCAAAGTAGGTCTGCAACAAAACTTGTAGTTTGTCTGATTTTTAATTTCTTTGCTCCATGCAAGTTATCATATCCTCATCATTGAGAATTTACAAAGTATCTTTCTTCATATTGGTTCTTACATGAAAACTTTTAAGGATGCTGCATTAAACTGTAGTGAAATAGCTCTCAAGTTCCATAAGCTCAGGTTTTTATTTTGCTTTAGAAAACTACATTAAAAAGCCAGTTGCCCATAGAAAATGCTATTTTTTGGCCAGATTTCAAATTACTTTCATTAATTGCTACAATATGGTATAAATAAATGAGCTAGTTACTCAAAAGAAAATGTTAATTAATTGAATAAATATTGTAAACACATTATTAGATGTTACTATTTAAAATAAGATAAAACAACCCCACACAGTTTACATTTTGTGATTAAAGAGCGTAACATGATTTTTGTAATCCTCTTGCACTAGTATTCCTGCAGCTGCACTAGATTTATTTGATTACATGCTCGCCTTGGATCCTAGTAAGCGATGCACCGCTGAACAAGCTCTTCAGTGTGATTTTCTGCGAGATGTGGAACCTTCCAAAATGCCCCCACCAGAGTAAGTGGTTTTCTGTTTTATTAGATTCTATGTATTTTGAGTCTGGGCAGTTTTAATAACATCTTTATATAATGATCAGATGGTGTATTATGGCAGTTAAATGAAATAGAACAAGTTAAATATAATGCACATAATTTACACATCTAGAATGTCAATGCTTTCTTAATATTCAACTAACTAAATGCAAAGAAGCAGCCTTCCTATGGTTGAGTGTTAACTGTTCTCAAGTTTTCATTAATATATTTTAGTCCTAAGAAAATATATCTTAGATAATATACTGCTGCAATTGTAAGAAAACATGTCTTAGATAAATAGCATGCTTTTGCTATTATTTCTTCTCCTACCAGTACTGCTGCTTATGCTACTACTAAAATGGCTATATCTGAAATTTTCAGTACATTTGTCATCTATTACATAAGCCTACTTAATCCTATCAGGTGGGTATTTACTTTATCCTCATGATTTACAGAGGAGGGAGCAGGCTCAGAGATGTTAAGAAACTTGCCCAGGAATACAAATCTAGTTAGAAGAGTGGAGTTAGCTCTAAATTTCAAGCTATTTTAATAAGAAAGGAAATTCTGAAATGTTCCTTTGCATACCACACAATTAATAATACTTATCATTAAATGAAATACTGAGTATCAGAGCCTTTATGGATAAATGTTTTGTTTGGATAGAGTTCAGGAGTCAGAATGTGTAGGTTCTTGAACCATAACTCTTACTGCTTTTGTGGTTTCCTAGGATTGGTTTGACAACAAGGAGAGAAGGAGACAGTAGTCTTATCTGATTTTTCTTGGAACAGTTGAGAAACTTTTTGTGATTTATTTCCACAACATTTTTAAATGATAAGCATGAGGTCATGCTTATCATTAATAATAAAATATTTTGATGTAATCAAATATATGTCCAGGAAATGAACAAACATGGACTTTGGCGTTCAAATCCTGGCTCTTCTCTGCTTACTATTTGACTAACTAGTTTCCTCTGAGCCTGTCATACTCAGATTTTTATTGGTCTTTGATAATTTGTGAGACAGGAAAAATCTGTTTCATGTATTTTGGAACTGGAATCATTCACTGTTGAATAATAATTTAAAAGAAGTTTGCCTGTCAGTAAGTATCAGTAGTCTTAAAACATTGATTCTAGTATCTTATCAAAGAATATATAAATTGTTTCATTTTGATGTACAATGAAAATTAGTATGCTCTTCTATGATTTTTTTCTATTTTGTATGCCCTTCTATTTTTTACTACTATTTGGACAAATACTTTATCATATCATATAAGCATTATTTTTTCCTGGATTATCTTAATAATAAGCATGAAAAGTACACTTTATTCCTACATATTTTATCACATTTCTCTAAGAACCAGTTTAGCTTCAGTGTCATAGGAAATATAAGAAATCATAGCCATCCCTCCAGTGGTTTTCAGAGGCAGTAAATCACAGAGGACAAGATTGCCCATCTTTCTGCCACAGATCATCTGGTGGGTTAGAATCACATGCCTTTGTGTTGGTAGGACAACTTGTTATCACTAGGGTTCCAGAACTCCTTTGCAACTATTGATGCTTGATTGGAAAGCAAAAGATTTGGTGTGAACTGGAATGTGCTAGTTAGTTTCACCAACACCCCTCCCCCCAAGTGAATCTCCTTATCAATAATGGGAAAACTGACACTACCTTCCTCTTGGTGTGATACGACCAAGGTACTTTATCACCATTTTGGTACAATGCTTGTAAAAAGTGCTAATAAATTTGTTGTTGCAAAACCCTCCCGTGTAGATTGTGGAAAGGGGCGCTTTGGTAAGGAACTGCACTTAAATCACAAAGATGTATATTTTGAATCTACCGTCTGCTCCAGCAGCCGGAGGATGGACAGTGCCCTCATGTGTGATTTACTGCCTCAGAAAACCCACTGGAACATGAGTTGTGGGTTTGTCTTACCCGACAGCAAACAACACCACATTACAGAATGTTTTCAAGATAGCTAACATGGGCCCTACATAAATACATTGAAGGCTATGAGTTGATTCCAACTCAATAACAGCATATAACAACAAGTAGTTGTAAGAAGTTTAATTTTCAGTGTATTGTAAATGTTGGCATTTTAAAGTGAAGCAGTTAAAGCATCCTTGTAATTGCATTTTGTGTAATCTAACCGTATTCACAACTTGATATCTACCGGCATTCATTTAAAAGATACTTGAAGAACTCTTCTTTGACAAACAGATGTTATTTTGTCTTCATCTTGATCATATTTATTTAGATTTTTTTAGTTTGGTGTTAACAATATTTATGCTTGAAGAGTGTTTTACTTTATATTCCTATTGGATTATAAAATTACATATATATATTTATATAGAGAGATGAATATAGTTTTTGAAAAATTCTGTTACTATACATACAACTTTTTCTTCTTGATTAAATAGTAGTTGTATATATTTCATTTAAAAAAGAGAAAAACATTAGAGAATTTTGTTAGAAATGCAGCAGAATAGGAGGTGTGGTATATTTCCCTCCTAAACTTTTGTGCCTCTGTTTATCATATTTACTTAGTCTAAAATGAGGCATACTTCCACATCAATTATAATTCTTTATTTGTAAGAATGCTTGTAAGTACTTGAGCAAAACTCCCCCAGACTTCATTCTCCTTGCCATTGAGTTGGCACCAACTCATAGCCAAACCCTCTGCTGAGTTTGTAAGGTTATAAATTGCACGAGGTTGCCTATCTTTCTCTTGCCAAGCAGCTTCAAACTAACAAAGAAGCACACTCTTTGAATTAGCAGAACAATTCCCTACATATACTAAGCTCCAGAGCTCCCTTACTTAAGACTTAACTCATTAAGCTAATTTATTGTCAGTGAGTTGGAATAAGATGCATAAAAGACCCTCCAGTGAGTTTTTGCAAACTGTAAATCACATAGGAGGAGATTTGTCTATTCTTCCTCAGAATGGCTGGTGGATACCAAACTGCCAGAGAGGCACTATGGTTAGCAGAGCAACCTCAGTGGACTATGTCACCAGAGGCTCCCTCATTTGAAACTAGGAGTTATATCATAGCTATATGATTGAGTCTTTGGATACTATGTAGCTATCTAAATCACAGTTGATTTAACATAAGAAATTATTTTAATGACCTTTCATATATCAACTGGAGATTATTCTATTTCTTAACAATAGAGTATTAGAAGGCACATGAATTTAAAAATTCTTTCTTTTGTAGTCATCTTTTAGTCTTTTACTTTCTCAACTGTTGTGAAAGTGAACCTAAGAAAGCTTTGCCAATACTTACTAAAATCTTATTTTTACATGTCTGTGCTGTTAGGCGGTAACTTGTGGTTGCTGTGAAGCTGAATACTGTGACACTCATTTGTCAAAAGCGATAATGGTTACCCATAGTGAACAGGATTTGATGGAGCTCCTCTATTAAAACAAGCTTGGAAGGAAGCAGGAGTGGCATCCCTTTCCGAAATAGCTTGCTTCTGGAAACCCTATGAACCTGCAGAAAGGATGAAAGTTAAACAAGTGTCCAGGTCTTTCATTCATAGCATCGCTGTGAGTTGCCTGTGACTCGACGGCACTTAACACCACCACCACCACATGCTGTTATACTCAAAAGATTTTAGGAAGTTAACATATTCATTTCATTCATTGCTACTTTGCCAATTCATTTTAAAAATTTAGGCTTTTTATTGTTGTTATGTGCCATCAAGCCACTACAACATGTAGTGATCCTTTGAACAATGGCTTTGTACATTGCCAAGTTTTGAGCCAACCTCACCATCTCTGGTACATCTGACTCCATTGCTACAATTACTGTGTTATCTCATTAAGTGTCTTCCTATTTCACACTTTTACACTATTTTACCTTTCCAGCTATGATGTCCTCCTCCCGCCCAGAGTATGTGAGATGTAGTTTCACCATTCTTGACTCCAAGGAGTACTCTGGCTTCACTTTCTCCATGACACACTTATTTGTATAGCAGGCCATAGTATTTTCAATATTCTTTTTAATCACCACAGCTCAAAGACATCAAACCTTCTTCTGTTATCCTTAGTTATTATCTAGCTTTCAGATGCATAGCAAGCAATTGGGAAGACCGTGGTTTGGATCAGATGTAGTCTGTTAGTTTTTAGACTGACATCATTGCTCTTTAGCATTCTAGAGAAGTCCTTGACAGCATGTTTTCTATGTGTAACTCCTCTTTTGCTTTCCTGACTGCTAGTGCCAAGAGTGTATGTTGATTGTGGATCCAAGTAAGATTAAATCATTAACAACTTCAATCCTCTCTCCATCTTTCATGATGTTGGTTATTGGACTGATTGTAAGGATTTTTTGTTTTCTTGCTGTTGAGATGTAATCCCTTTTGAAGGCTGTAGTCTTTGATTTTCTGCAGCAAGCACTTCAGATCCTCTTTACTTTTAGTCAGCAAGAATATGTCATTTTCATAATGCATGTAGTTGATAAGACTTCTTCTGATCCTGATGCCACATTATTCTTCTCAAATAAATTATTAGATACTTTAAATTTTTTTCTTTTATAAATATCTTGAAACTCCATTCATTTTAAGGAAAATATAAGGAGCTATATAAGGCTCTCTGGTGGCTTGGTGTGGAGCTGTGCTGCCAACCCTAAGGCACTCAGTTCCAATCCACTTATTGCTCCAAGGGAGAAAAATTGACATTCTTCTCCCATTCGATTTAACTGCTTCTGAAAACCCACTGTCCAGCTAGGTGTTGGTTATGGCTTAATGGTATATAGCAACCACCTAATAAGAAAATCTGTCCACATTGTCAGAAACCTAAACCACTGTGGTCAAGTTAATTCTTAGAACCTCTTTCATGTTTCTGAGGCTGTAAATCTTTATAGGAGGAGATTGCTTATCTTTCCCATGGAGCAGCTGGTGGATTTGAGCTGCTTAGTGAGTACAACATGTAATGAATGCACCTGTGCTCCTTCATTGTGTAGTAGATCACAGATAGCAGAAAACACCTTTATACATTTCCCCACAAAGATAAAAGTATTATTGCACATTTTCAACATCTATAAAACAGTAACAAATTATGGAATGCATGTTTACTTAAGCTGTCAGGCGAAGAATATAATGACATCATTCCAACCTCTTTTTAATAAAAAGTTATATAAACAATATAACATCATTTTAAAAGTTATTTAATAAGCAAGGACTGTGAAGAAGTGCATGGTGTTTCTTTGGATAATATGTGTATATACCAAACTTTAATGATTTGCTTTTAAGAGTAATCAAATGAGAGCATGGGATAGTCAGAAATACTATTCGTTATATTAGATGTCCTGTCATACTTAATTTTCAAAAATGTATATTAAAGAACAAATAAATTCAGTTAGACTGCAGCTAGCCTATGATTTTTATATTTTATTAGTAACCAGGATATTAAATAATTTAGAAGATGAAATAACTGTATGTTGACCATGATAAGATGAATTAAATTTGAATGGATATTTCATTATATGATTTGATTTAAAGTTTTAAACCTTATTGAATGGTGTGTAATGTAATGTAAAATGTGAATGCCTACTATGAGAGGCAGCATCTCAGCACTTTGAATATGTATATAACCTCTACTCAGTGAGGTATATACTCTGTCATTCCTATTTTTAAAGATAAGAAAACTGAGACCAATAGAAGTCACATGCCTGATGCAACACAGAAAGTAAGTGCTGAGCCAGCATTTGAACTTTGAAAAAGTGCATAGAGGTTTGGTTTTCCGGAAAAATTTCCCAGTACTGGCAGTCCCTGACTTAGGACAAATTATAATGGTGAACCATGCTGTGACCGTGTGTTCTTTGTTATTTAAACATACAGTGGCCACAGCAAGTATCTATAAATTTATATATATATATATAATGTTTCCAACTCACAAAATCAAAAAGCAAATTTGTAAAGATACTGGTAATACAAGACAATTATAATGAAATTTAAAAAAAAAAAAATCCGTTCACAGCAGAACCGACTTAATGACAGTTTCAAAGTGGAACACTTAAAAGTCAGGGACCACTTGTACTTTAAAAGGGTCAGTATTATTAATATGTTAAAAGAATATCAATACCCTCTATGTTTTTAGCTATATGTAGAGTAATGTTTATTTTTCTTAGGGATGAGTATTGAGGACATAACACCAAGAATCTCATACCTTTAAATTGTACAAGGGAACAAAAGTCCTTTTACCACATCTCTTTGTTCTCATGGGCCTCTCCATAAGAGCAGTGCATTCCTTATCAGTCAGTAATGCCACTTCACAGTACTGCATTATATTTACATTCTTGTAATTTCCCAGTTGAGGGTAGGGCTATATAATGTAACATACACAACACAGGAAGGAAAGTCTTTGGCAGGTTTATGATGCTTTAAGGAGGCTTCCCAATATCAATATTTCAAATTGTCCCTTTGTTTGTTACTCCAGGAGGTTTTTACACGCTGAGGCAATGCACCATAGTAAGATGGCTGAGAGGTATGCCTTTGTTTTTGTTTTCTTTTATTTTTTCTTTTTTTTTTTTTGGAACCTCAGGTGCATAGACTTGGTTTTAATCATCCTTGTTTCACTCATCATTGGTCCATGCATGGCTCCCTTTTATTTATTTTAGTTACTTAATTAGTTCTTTTTAGTAATGTCAGTAAGCAGCCATGGTCCCACTATACCCAAACAAAAGCTAGAACCTTGAAAATAACCTACTTGGATCATATCCTACCCTCCCCTTTCCCAACATACCCATCTGCCCACTTCTACCTGAGGTAACCATCATACCTTGTTTTCTTTGTATATACTTTTGTTGCCATCTATATGTACTCATAAGAAGTCATTTTTATTTTAGTAGTATTTAAAAGTGTGTCATGCTGTTTGTAATCTTTTGGGAATTGCCTTGCCTTTTTACTTAATATTGTATTGCTAAGATTCAACCGTATGCTTTTGTTTTGTCAAGTAAGAGTACTTATGAAAGAGCAGGTGTAAAATTAAGAGCTTGCCTGAGCATTCAGGCTATTTTCAAAGATAAATTTTTAAAAAGACGACATAGGGATATTGAAATGCATTCCTTTAAAACAATTCCTGTCAGGTGTATCCCCTTGGAAAGTCTTCATGTACACCTAAAGACAAACATATATCATAGTTTGAAGACTTCAGATATATATTAGCAGGTTGCTACTGCTCAAGGGAATATTATGTAGATATTCTGGGCAAGTTTATTAACCTTTTCCAAGCCTTGATGTTTTCACCTTTAAAACAGATATAACAGTAATTTTCATTGACTTTTTTATTAGCATAAGATGAACCATTTATAAACCAATATATTCTCCAATGTTATTAGCTTTATGAAATTAAAAAACTATTTCAGTAGTGGCCAATTTGATACATTTTAGTTATTCAGAATTATTTATCGCTGTGTGACAGTGAGTCTGTTTGTGCCTTGAATATCTGTTTAAAAACTCCTGTCACATCAATTTAATCATAGAGCATTTAATTACAGAAATAAGTAAGAGGGCATTGAAAACTGAGCTTTGTCTAGAAAACTTCACAAATGTTGTCTTCCAGCTTTTACTGCTTTTTATCCTGTGTTTAACATCTGCAAATGGCATGTTGTTTGGCCTTTTTTTTCCATTCAAAGTATGATGTACTGTGATAAAAATAGTTTTAACAAGGTTTCATGATTATTAGCAACCTACTTTTATGCATATTATGTTCTTTATTCTAAATTTTAATAAGTAATTCTTTATTGATTATTCAGAATGGAAAAGCAGGGTTTGTGTTGCTCTTTTGTTCTTTTCATATATCTGTATCCCTCAATATAGATATATCTATATTGAGGGATACAGATACAGAGATATGTAAATATGTAGCTATATAGATAAAGGTGAGCCCTGGAAAGAGAAGGCAGGGCATCAAGAATGATTTTTATTGGAGTTTTTACAAAGCCTAAGAATGAAATCATCATGACAAAATTTTTTTCTTTTGCCCGTGGCTTTATTTAATAAATATTAGCAGATTGTTGTTGTTGTCGTCATCATGAAATGGCACCAATAAGCTAACACTTTTATTTTTTTCCAGTCTTCCTTTATGGCAAGATTGCCATGAATTATGGAGTAAGAAGCGAAGAAGACAGAAGCAGATGGGCATGACTGATGATGTATCCACAATTAAAGCTCCCAGAAAGGACTTATCTCTGGGGCTGGATGACAGTAGAGCCAGCACACCACAAGGTGTGCCATCATCTTCACAGCTGAAATCTCAGGGCAACTCAAGTTTAGCACCTGGTTAGTAATAATTTTTTTATTTGTTTCTTTCATGTTTTTCTTTTATTGATGTTGATTATATTGTTCTGTTCTAAGAGCATGTTGTACTCAGTGAAGAAAATTGAGTTGTGTTCACTCAAGCTTATAGTTTCTTGTTATGTGTGCCAAAATAGGTTTTTCATTGCTACTGACATCACAATTTTAAGCAGTTGGAAAGAAGACATAACATTCTCTGACTGATTAACCAGACTTTTTCTCAATTACCTCCTTATACTTTCCAGTTCAGGAGTCAGTAGGGCTGTTTACTACTACACTTCTCAGTGAGGCTCAGCATTAGTGTCTCTTGGTGAGGCATTTATAATGCCTCATTATTTATTGAAAACTTTCCTATAATTCTGTTATAACTTCTAACATTCCAAATGTTAAAATTGGTATTTACTAAATGAAATGGTAAACTTTTTTTAAAGACTTCGTTCTCTCAATTTACTTAAAGAATCCAGAAAGCATTCAGTATATTTAGTTGTAGGGTGGTTTTTGTTTTTTTGTTATTAAATGAGGAGGTGGGGTGTGGGTGTATATGTGTTGATTGGTTAACTAAACACTGAAAAAGTAGCCTAGCTTTATTAAGAAATAAATGTTGATTGATTGGGTGATTAAACGATATATGTAGTTCATATCAAACTTTTGGTGGATGATAGACTAGATCAGCTGAGAAAAAAACTTGAGAAAAATCCCATTATCTGCAGGTTTACATTTGATCTTACATTTCACTTGAAAAACAAAGCAGTTGTTACTTCTTCAGTTTCTTGAAATAGTGAATGTTCTTAAAATTTAAGATATTTTACATACACATTAGCTTTTGAAAACAGATCTGTTGTAAAAAATTAGGGCTATCTATATCAAGTGAATGGGGGTTTTATTGCATTTAAGAAATATGTGATACTTGGAAAAGGTAAGAAGAGTAGCAACTGCCAGTTTTCTTCATTTATGTACGCTTTATATGTAACCCCTGATAGGCCAGTTTTGCTTTCTCATACGGGGTCTGTGTGCATCAGTATTCATTCATTGACACACACCAGCTGCTGAAAAAGACTGAGGAAGAGAGCAACAATAAGTTTGGATTCTGATCAGTTGTCTCAGAGGACAGCTGTCAGTTTCCTTGATGACTAAACCTACTGTCAACTTGATTTCTACTCACAGCAACCATTATGTTCTATGTCTGAGGCTGTAAATAATCTTTGTCGCTCCAAGAATTTAGTGGATTTGAACTTTGTAGCACATACTGTGCCTTCAAAGCTTGCTTTTGTTGTTAGAGACCATCAAGTCGGCTACGACTCTGAAGGATGCAATGGATAACAGATCTGAACTTTGCCCTGTCCTGCACCATCCTCATAATATCTGATATTCTCGAGCCCTTTTAGTACAGTCACTGGGTCCATCCCTCTTGTTGAGATCTTCCTAGAGAAGGTCTTTCTCTTACCCTTCACATGATATCTTTTTCTAAAGAATGGTCCCTTCTGAAAACATGCCCAATGTATGTAAGACAAAAGTTCACCATTCTTGACTCTAAGGAACACCCTGATTGCACTTCAAGTTGTTGTTGTTGTTAATAAACTCTCAGGTCAGAACTGACTCACAACTGACCCTCCAGTGAGTTTTCACAGGCTGTAAATCATACAGGAGGAGATGACTCATCTTACTCCTGTGGAGCACGAAGTAGATTCAAACCACATGCCTTTTTGTTGACAGCACAGCTCCTTTCCACTAAGCCACCAGAGCTTCCTGTATTTGAAGCCAGCAGGTCTTTATTTCTGGAACTAATGGAACCAGTACCCTTATTTTATTAGCAAACCTAATGGGTAAGCTGTTTCACTGATTAAATTACTCTCTGGGTTCCATTGTTTTTAGTGAGCTCTAACTTGTTTCACAGAATATTAATGGTAGGAAGTTTTTATTTTGCTTTTTATCTTTTTTTTTAAAAAAAAAACAACTATCACTATTAAGAACTGAGAATGTAGGGTTTATTTAGAATAAGGTGAATGTTTGCTTTGTTTTCTTCTCCTTCACCTGTGAATTTATTGAGATTTTTTAAAAGTTCGTCCTATAGAAGAGACCACTTAATTACAGAGATTTTTTTTTTCCAGTGCTCACACAGAGGTCTGCTAAGAGAGAAGTGAGAGGAAAATGACTGATGGAGTATAGCAACCTAGTATGGTTACTAATTAATATCTATAGGTCATAAGAACACCACAAAACTTTGTTTTGAATTAATCTAAAAGCAGGATTAACGATGTAGCTCCTAATTACATGAAAATGTAAGAATATAGCAGTTTTATCTCTTTGGAGTTTTTCCTTCTGTTCCTTAGTCATCTGTGGCTGTAAGAATGGCATTTCAGTAGGTGTGTTTGTTTACTTACTTAAAATATAGTATTGTTTATGTTCATGTTTTGGTTTCGTATATGATTTTGGTAATTTTGCACAGACATCTATTTAAATGATAACCAATCTGAATTGAAGGTTAGAAAAAGAAAACCAACTTGTTTCTATTGGTGGTGAATTAGTACCTGCATAGATATAATATATGCAAATCACTGTTCTCATTTAGGAGTTCTACTTGACTTAAAATAATGTATGATTTATTTTAAAGAGAAGATATTTTGTCAAAAAGCCTGATATATTAGAACTTGAGTTAACTGCAAGTTTAGCTTTTTAGATAATATGCTTTATTTCGCAAAAGCAGTACAGCATAACAGTTGAAGCCCACACTCTAGAAGCTGAATATCTGGGTTTAAATCTCACCTGCTGTCACTGACAAGAGTCTGTGAGAGTGGCAAGGTATTTAGTCTTTCTGAGTGTTGGGTTCTTTCCCAGTAAGGTGACATTTACCCAAACTCAGAATCACTGTTGTCAATTCTTTCTCATATCAACTTTTTAGGACTGAGTCGAATGCCAGGATTTCCATGATTGTAAATCTTTATAGAAGGATACCACCACATATTTCTCCTGTGTAGTGATTGTTGAGTTTGAACTGCTGTTCTTTCAGTTAGCACTCTTGTTCTTTACCCACTGTACCATTAGGGCTCCTTGAACTTAGAAGCAGAATCTGACTTATTAGGTTGTAAGGATATATATCAAACTGCTAGCCAAAATACTTGGCAGTTTGAATGTACAAGAAACTCCAAAAGAGAAAGGTGACAGTTTTCTTGCTTAAAGAATTATAGCCATGGAGCCTGAAGAGTGTTTCTGTGAGACATAGTACTTAGGTAATTTTTTGTTTTTTGTTTTTATAATTTCTATGTAAATATTACCACCATTATTCACATCCACAGAAGAAATCTAGTATAGAATTCTAGTAGGAGTCATGTTTTCCCTTTTGAAATATTTGACCCTAAAGATAACAGACAACCGTATGGTATACTATGCCAAGAATGAAAAACAGAAGAATAGTTATGTGCATTCATAATTAATAAAGACAATGTCAATTTCTATGCTGAAGTATAAGGGTGTGAGTAATAGAATAGTATATCATACACATATAAGAAGACCTGTTAATATGACTATTATTCAAATACACATTCCTACAGCTGAAGCCAAAGAGAAGTAAATTGATAATTTTTACCAAATCTTGTAGTCCAAAGTTTACCAAACGTGCAATTAAGTTGCGTTAATGACAAGTGGTGACTGGAATATAAAAGTTGGAAGCAATGAAGAAGGAATGGTAGTTGGAAATTACAGACTTGTGACAGAAATGAGGCTGGAAATAGAATGATCAAACTTCATATATTCAATGATTTATTCATTGAAAATACCTTTTTTAAGAAACACAAATGCTGACTTTACATGTGGACCTCACCTGATAGACTGCATAGGAATTAGATTGACTATGTCTGTGGAAGGAATTGGAAAAGCTTAATTTATAGCAGTCAAAACTAGATCAGGAGCAGACTGTAGAACAGACTATCAGTTACTCTTGTGCAAGTTCAAATAGAGGCCAAAGAAAATGAAAACAAGTCCTCACGAACCAAAATAAGACCTTAAGTTTATTCCACCTGAATTTTAAAATCATCTTAAGAATACATTTGAATCATTGAACACTAGTGATCAAAAATTAGATGAGTTGTGGGATGATATCAAAGATACCGTCCATGAAGAGAGCAAAAGATCATTACAAAGATAGAAGAGAAAGAAAAGACTGAAGTGGATGTTAGAAGAAAATCTGAAAATTGCCCTAGAGAGTCAAGCTCAATGAGAAAAGATGCTGAAGTAAAAGAGTTGATAAGGAGATGTCAAAGGGCAGCTTGAGAAAACAAAGCAAAATATAATAGAATGTGCATAGAGCTGGAATTGGAGAATAAAAAGGGAAGAACTCAATTGCATTACTCAAACTGTGAGAACTGAAAAATAAATTTAACCAACATTCTTGGTACCAGTATCAGAAAATCAAGACAAATTGCATTGGAAAAATCTGTTGTCGGGGACCTCTCCAGAGCACTAAAGAGCAGTGATAACATTCTGGAGACTGTTGTACCTGATCCAGGCCATAGTCTTTGCAGTTACTTCCTATGCATCAGAGATCTGGTCAATGACTAAGGATTATAGAGAAACTAATGACTTTGATTTGTGGTGCTAAGAAGATTATTGAATATACCATCGACTGCTAAAAGAACAAACAGGTCTGTCCTGGAGAGGGTGAAACCAGGCTGTTTGTTGGAAGCAATGATTTTGAAGCTCCAACTGATATAACTTTGGGCATGTTACCAGTCCTTGGAGAGGGACTTCATGCATGGAAGAGTGGAAAGACAACACAAGAGAGAAAGAACTCTGAATGAGATGGATTGACTCAGTGACTGCGGTAATATGGAGACAGGTGTGTCAGAGATGATAAAATTGGCTTAGGATATAGCAGGATTTGTAGCTGGTGTACATAAGTCGCTATGAGTTGGAGTGGACTCAGTGGCATTTAACAACAACCTGGCAATATATTGAATAATCTAGGAAGCATCAAAAGAAGATGGGTGGAATACACAAAGTCACTGTACCAAAAAGAATTGACTAATACTGAAAAGTTTCAGGAAATACCATATGACAAGAGCTGGTGGTAACAAAGGAGGAAGTTGAAGTTGCATTGAAGGCATTGGCAAAAAATAAAGCCCTAGGAATTGATAGGATATTGAAATGTTTCAACTAAGAGATGTAGCTCTGGATGAACTCACCAGTCTATGCCAGGACATTTGGAAGACAACTATCTAGATGACTAACTGGAAGAGATCCATATTTGTTCTCATTCCTGAGAAAGGCAATCCAAGAGAATATGGAAACTACCAGACAATATCATTAATATCACATGCAAGCAAAACAGTGCTGAAGATCATTAAAAAATGACTAGAACTGCCAGAAGTTCAGACAGAATATAGAAGTGGCCATGGCATCAGGGATGTCATTACTGCTGTCAGATAGATCCTTGGCTGAAAGTAAAAGAAAAAAGTCCCAGAAGAATGTTTATTTATGATATATGGATCCTACATTATGGCTAACATTTGAGAAGAATTGGAAACCTAAAACATTTCAAGCGAAGCCTATACCTAGAGCAAGTGGCTGTTATGTGAACAAAGCAAGGGAACATTACATGGTTTAAAATTAAGAAGTACATCAATGTTGTATCTTCTCTCCATATTTATTTGATCTGTATGTGGATCAAGATACTCAAGAACCTGGACTCTGTTAAGAATGTGGTCATCGAAATTGAGGAACATTCATCTGTATCCTGTGTTAGCAGATAGTACAACCTTTTCTGCTGAAAATGAGGAGGACTTGAAGTACTTGCTACAGAAAATCAAAGAATATAGCCTTCAATATAGATTACATCTCAGTGTCAAGAAAACAAAAATTCTTACCATTGGACCAATCAATAGGCAACATGATGAGAAATGGAGAATATGTTGAAGTTGTCAACAGTTTCATCTTACTTGGATCTACCGTCAACACCCTTGGTACCAGCAATCAGGAAATAAGGGGATGTGTGTATTGAACTAAGGATTTACCATTCTTATGTCAGAATGACATAAGAGTTGATGACTTTGAGCTGTAATGTTGGTTGGACAAGAGTTCTGAATATCCCATGGATTTCCAAAAGAATATGTCTTGGAGAAAGTGACTCCAGAGTGCTCCTTGGAGGCAAGGTTGATAAAGCTTTTCTCACATACTTCAGACATATTGCTAGGAGAGGCCATTCCTTGGAGAGGGACATGACGCTTGGAAGGGCGAGGGTCAGCAAAAGAAGACCCTCAGCTGGATAGATTGACAGAGTAACTGTTGCAGCGGCCTCTAGTGTGTCAGGAAGTATGAGGATGGCACTGGATAGGACAAGATTCAGATTTGTTGTTCATAGGGTTGCTATGAGTGTACTTGATGGCACCTAACAATAGCAAAGATAACATTTAAAGTTGACTTTGGTCATTTTTGTTTTAATGTGTACATGGACAGGAACTAGATCTAAGTTTCTTTTTATGTTATTTCAGAAATACTCTACCTAAGATGTACATTGAATATGCAGGGCCTTTGGGAACTTAGGGGATGACTGTAATGTATGGCAATTTTTATTAATACAGATTTTGTCTTTAGTAAAAACAGGCCCTGGACAGCAGTTAAACCACAATGAATTGGCAATTCTACTAAACCTGCTACAGTCTAATACAAGTGATAATGTGGCTGATTCTGTCCAAGTATTGAAAAGTAAGGTAAACTCTGAGACTCAACAGCAACTAAATAAAATAAACCTTCCTGCTGGAATTTTGGCAACAGGTGAAAAACAGACAGATCCATCAACACCACAGCAGGAATCTATGAAACCTCTGGGAGGAATTCCACAGCCTTCTCAGACTGTCCAGCCTAAAGTGGAGACTGATGCTGCCCAGGCAGCTGTGCAGAGTGCATTTGCAGTTTTGTTGACTCAGTTAATAAAGGCTCAGCAGTCAAAGCAGAAAGACATGCTACTGGAAGAACGGGAAAATGGATCAGGACATGACACAACATTACAACTCAGACCTCCTCCAGAGCCCAGCACTCCAGTATCAGGTGAGTGTGCAGATAGCATGTCAGTAACACAGATGTTTTTACACTGCTTTCTTGCTACTGATTATCTGTGACACCGACTGGTCATTGGCAGTATGAGGAGATGTCCTGAAAATTGTCAAGTCACTGATCGAAGTTGGTTTATTAGTCTGTTTACTCTAAAGGAATTGGTTTTTGAGGAAGTTATCCATATGTGGTAACTCATTATAAATATGTTAGAATTTTTCTTGGGAATGCCTTTGGTTAAGAAATGACCACAGCAAAAACTTAATGTTTAGAGTACTTTTTGTTTCTTGAACAATAAACAATTAGATACATGTGAGATAACTGTATAAACTAAATCCAATGAAAATATGCTAGTCACCATAGACTTAAATGATCACAGATTTATGTCCATACTTGTAAATTTTTCCTTTTCATTTAATATAATTCCAGATAGGTAATCTTCAAGACAATCTGTAGAAAACATCTCATTTTAAACATGTGATTTTCCTAAATTTTTACCCTTTTTGCCTGCTTGTTTTTTTGCTTTATTTGACTTAGGGCAAGATGATCTCATCCAGCACCAAGATGTGAGGATATTGGAACTAACACCGGAGCCAGAGCGGCCTCGGATTCTGCCTCCTGATCAGCGACCTCCTGAACCCCCTGAACCACCTCCAGTCACTGATGAAGACCTGGATTATCGGACAGAGAACCAGCATGTACCCACCACTAGTTCTTCCTTAACTGATCCTCATGCTGGAGTGAAAGCAGCCCTGTTACAGCTCCTTGCTCAGCATCATCCCCAGGATGAGCCCAAGAGAGAAGGTGGTATTGATTATCAACCAGGAGACACTTATGTACCTTCTGCAGATTACAAAGACAATTTTGGATCTAATTCTTTCTCTTCTACTCCTTATGTTAGTAATGATGGCCTAGGAGGTACTTCTGCTCCATCATTGGAACGACGTAGCTTCATTGGAAACTCAGATATTCAATCTCTGGATAACTACAGTACTGCTTCATCTCGTTCTGCTGGTCCGCCTCAACCTTCTGCCTTTTCAGAGTCATTTCCCAGCACAGTACCTGGCTATGGGGATATTTACCTCAATACTGGCCCCATGTTGTTTAGTGGAGATAAGGACCATAGATTTGAATACAGCCATGGTCCTATTGCAGTTCTGGCAAACAGCAATGACCCTTCCACAGGGCCAGAGAGTACTCATCCTTTGCCAGCAAAGATGCATAACTATAACTATGGTGGTACCTTACAAGAAAACCCAGGCGCCTCTGGCCTCATGCATGGACAGAATTGGACTTCTCCTGCCCAAGGACCTGGATATTCGCAAGGATACAGGGGACACATCAGCACATCAGCTGGCAGAGGTCGAGGCAGAGGGTTACCCTACTGAGTATCAGTTTTCCTCAGGCACATCATTTTTATCTGGAAAGACTTTTCTAGCTGCAGTTGAAGGCAGCAATCCAAGAGACTTGAATAATATTAATTCAGCAGCAGCTTTATTTTTATGTGTAAAGGGTCTTGCATACAGTAGTTAAAAAAAAAAAGAAAGGAAGAAAAACATGGAAAACCCCCCACCCTTTGCTTAAATTCATGCTGTTCTACAAACTAGATCTATTGATTGTACATCTTCACAAAATTCTAGTTAACAGTTTTATTTTGTATTCTCGCAGTTTTAAGTGGATGCTAATCTTAGGGACATAAGCTTCCTATGATCCTCTTAAAGATATCCTGAACTATGCACATTTGTGCTTTTTTTGTAAGTTTGGACCAACTTTTATGTAAAAAACAAACACATAAACCCCTCCCTTTGGTTTTACAACAATCAGAAAGAGCACTGATTTATTTGGTATTTTTCTTTTTACAAAACTACCTTTAGTCAAAGGTCACTGTCAGTCTTTGCACCTGCTTTCAGTGTTATTGTGAAAGGTGTACTTTGTGCTCATTTCAGAAAATAAAACACAACCTTTCTCTTGATGCAACAATTTTATAAGAAAAATGGTCAATCTTATTTTTGTTTCGCTTTGCAGATTATCATAGCCTACCAAATACATTCAAATATAATAGTAGGTTTTATATTGAAAACATGGGTGGGACGGGGAGGGTAAGTAAGTGCCTTAACAGGTAAACTTAAGGTCCGAAAAAGTACTTTACCTTTAAATCCGTTTGTCTTTTAAAGGGAATCATTGCATTGTATTGAAGAGGCAGGATGCCCTTACTTTTTAGGGCTATTTGTTCAGTTCCTTGTAGGTTCATTCCCTCTGTCTGTTCTCTGTCTGTCATATCTTCTTTTCTTCTTGTCTTTGGGCTATGCTACCTTTCACTACCACCATCTCTAGATAGAGGAGTGAAAGCAAAGAAAGGGAATAAAATGCCAGCTGTATCTTTTGTTACCTCTGAAAAGTCTTGTCATTTAAATTGTTGAAAGTAAGCTAAAGGAGAATGTTATAGAGTACCATTTTCATTCAGGCTGCCATATTGCTTCTGATTGAATTTACCATGAATAATTGGAAAGGCTAATAAAATAATTGGCATAATTTTACTAAAGTTCATAGGAATACGGGAGCAAACACCATGTTTTAAGTTATATAATTGCCATGTTAAGGAAAAGTCAGTTCTACTTGTTAACTAGAAACATTGCCTAGATTTAATTTACTGAGGAAAAAGAAAATGTAGTGAGAGAACCTGTTGCCTCGCTCCCGCTCACCATCTGTGAAATTATGATTTATACCACACTTTCAGAGAAGTTTGTTCATTTGAAATGTTTTGTTTTATTGCACACAGCAAAGAATGATGAATTCACCTATATTTAAACTGTAGTCGTGTTATGTCTGTCCTTACATGCACATTCATACACACAAAATTGGAATAACTACAGAAAGGAACCAAAGGTAAATGACCAGTCTTTCCATTAGCACTCAGTAAGAAAATAGGCTCTGGAAATTCGATTTGTGCCAGTTAAGCAACTCTTATTTTGGTAACATCATTTTTTATTGGACCCTTAGCTTGAAACAGCTATTATAAAATGGAATTGCTTCAGTTCTGGAATCAGTCTTTTAACCCTGTGTTGCCTGCCTGGCTTGTGAACCTTCAGATCAGACAAGTCTGTGGAAAGCATCAGTCTGGGGATAGTAAGAATATTTTAAACTGAATAATTTACCACTTACTACCATGAAATGAGTTGATAGTTGACCATTTTATTTTTTGATAAAATTTTTTGTTGGGAGAAAGAAATTAATGGAAGACAAAATATTTTTTTTTGTTTGAATATTTAGTACTAACAGCTTATCATTATTACCACATTGCAGGAAGCAAAGAAAAATATTTTTAAATTTAGCAAAAATAGCTACAGTATTCAAGTATCTGAAATTTTATATGGTGAGTGTTAGAGCTTTAGACTTTTCAATAAGTGATAGTATCTAAGTTATTCTTAATAGTCATACTGGCTAATTTGCTGACTATAAGCAGCTGACCTAAAAATGAAGATATTTATGTGACATGAATAGCCTGTGTTTTAAAATATTAAATATTTTGTATGAAATTGAACTGTGTTTGGATAGTTATTCTAATCATTTCAGTTATATATTTCTGGTGGGAGAATGGCTGGGAGGACAGGGAAATTGTTGCTTGAAACTGAAGTTTTAACTATAGTTTCTTAATATCTTTAGACAGCACTAATTGTGAGACAGCCAGTATTTTATATACAACTTGAAAATGGGCGACAAAAATGGTGTCAGTTATCACACAATACTGAGATGCCATCAACCAGACAATATATCTTAATTTCAGAGACAGAATTATATGAAAGAATATAATTGGATGAAATACTGTAGAACATCTCATTTTATCCTTCTGTGACTTCTTAAAATTATAGTTCTTTGAATTTATATTTGAAAAAGAAGCAGGGTCAGAATTCATTACTTCTTTAGGTTATAGAACAGCTGTAAAAATTACTGAGTATTCTTTAGTAAAATGTAAGGAACATAGAGTAATGTTCAGTTTTGGGAAAAGGAACCAATAAATCAGGTTGAAAATAAAATAAGATTTGACTTACCAAGAAAAGAAAATACTTCTCCCATGTATATATATCAAATTTCATTTTGAAGAAACCAGATAGCAGATTTGTCTCCACACAATTCTGTTTTTCCAAGTCTTTGATAAATTGTTGGGAAATTGACAATGATTGATTAAGATTGCATTGATAAGGGATAATTGATAAAAATAGGTTATGAACCATGAAGTAAAATAATAGTATGTAAGGATCATTTTTCATTCAGTCAGTTGATAATCTGTTCAGTACCTAACCATATGCCAAGTACTAGCACTTGGGATACATCAAACAAGCATGAAAGGTATTAAATCAAACTTCTTGGTGTGAAGGTTTAAAATGTTTGGAGAAGCTAGTGCTATTCCCACCTCTATTAAAACTACGCTCAAGTGTAAGAAAAGAAAATTGAGTGTCTTTGTAAAAAAGTGAAATTTGAAAAGAAAGTTTCCAAAACAAGATAGAGCAACTGGAATTCAACAATTAAAGACATTTTATGTTGCATATGACCAGTCCACAATTTATAGAACTTCTCGGAAAAGTTTTTGAAAAATTAAAAATGAGTGGGTTGAATGCTTGCAAATGAATCTGGTTTAAAATTCCACTGTATTTACTAAAAAAGTAATTCAATTTTTTATTTTTACCCTTAAGAATTTTACTTAGTTAATTAAAGCTGAAATACATATTTTGATTAAATGTTGACTAACTCACTGCTCCTTGGTTTTGACTGAACAGGATGCCTCACTACTCTAATGAATCTCCTCATGTTATAACTGATGAAATTTAGAAAGATCATTTGCCAGAGCTTTTTCTTTCTTGAATATCAGACTAACAGTTACACTGCTAAGCCATTATCTAAATTTTACTTTAAGTATTAAGGAAAATAGCTTATAAAAACACCCAACAGGTACACAGTAAATGAAAAGAATTTATAACAGTGTTGAAAGCTTAACACGGATGGCAGTGAAAGCAAAGACAATATTTTCTTGTAATTGTGGAAAAATAAAAACAAAATTTTTGAAAACTTTAAAGAATTTAAGAGATTTTGTTTCACATATGTTTAATCTTTATAAAGGATTGTCCTGTGTTTAAGACAACAGTTATTTAAAATCAGATTAAATTACTAAAATAGTATATTATTAAAATCCATTTCTTTGTAGGAGAGTTGGACTTCAAGCATAAGTTGCTTTAAAATGTTTAATTGGTTTTATAAGGGAGCAATGGCTTTTCATTTACCAAAGGCCTCTTACGTTGTTTCAGGTTTTCTTAGGAAAGTGGTTAAGTAAATGAATAGCTTTTGTCATGGAATCCAGTTAAAGATGGAGACAAAAAAATTTCATCTCAGTGGAAAAAATTATTGTGTATTATATAACTTGGGACCGTTTGTAGGGTTTACTCCTTTAACCATAATCAAATATTCCATTTTTTTTTAAAAAAAAAGCATTCATGAGAATTTGTAGAGAGAATCATCTTTTCATTTTTTCCACATTTATAAACAGTATGAACTATTTTTTTTGGCCAGAACTTTTATAAGTTTTTAATTGTTAAAGCTAATGTTAATTAATATAAATTAACTTTTAAGGCTGTATTTGATAGTCTGTAAACAAACTAAAAGTAATATCATGCCATTTCCCTTATTTTCTTTATTATAGCCAGAACAGACTCTTAATAATTTCATTTGGTAAAGTCTGCTTGAAATCCACTATGTCATATTTTATTGACACATCTTAAAACCTACAACCCTTCTCTTTTTTAATATTGTACAGAAATGTAGGAGCACAGAGTAGTAATGTCTAGAAATAATAATCATTGATATTTTGCTTTTGATGGATGTATATGAATAATGCCTAGGGTTTTTTTTTTCTTTAAACAGTGTATTTTACTGCCCATAGCTTTGTAACTTCACTTTTTCATTTAATAAGATGTGAGCATCTGTGCTGATAATTAAGTTCTACTTTTCTAATAGTTGTGAATTATTTTTTATTTAAAGAGTCGTAATTTATAATTCCTTATTGCTGGAATAAAGTATTTCTATTCTGTTATAAATAACAATGTGAATAAAATCCATATAAATACATGTAATAATTTCCTTGGAATTGTTGGTTTTAAAAGTGGATATTTAAAACTCATTATATCCAAATTTCTCTCCAGGAAAGATTGACCCATTTTAGTTAGGTATATTGAGATATTTAAAAAGTTCTCTTAATTTCACAGCTAATATGTCATTTTAATTTGTTTCTATATTCATGAAATTGTTTTTTAATTCAGTCTTGTCTATTAGCTGTTCATTTGTTTACTTATTGTTTATCTCATTTGAAGAGATAATGTAAGAGATAGGTCAGAAAATT